AAAAAAATACTCATTGAATATGAAAATTTTGTTTTTTTTTTTTTTTTTTTTTTTTTTTTTTTTTATGAAGAGTTTGTATTTGTCCTACTCCATTTACCTGATGACCACTCGAGATGTTGAGACTGGGATCTGGAGCCAAATCGAGGTCTGCTTCAACTAATTCAATGTTTGCCAGACGTCAAGCAAGGATACTAATGAAGAAATCATGGAGGTCCACTACATGAACCTAATAAATTGCATTCTCACAACATTATTGGCACACACTATTTAAACAATAGAAATTAAAAATAGGATTAAACTTGAAATTCAAAAAATCAAATCAAAAGAATGAATTTAAGAACAAGAAGTTAGTTTCGGTTCAAAAACAAACTAACAGACACAGAGAACAAAGAATAAGCATCTAAACAAAGGTAAAAAAGTTACCTCAAAAATCAGAATATGGAATTCCCAAAACTAAAGAACTATTTAAGCTATTTATGAAATGCCTAGATATCAAAACCTCCAAATTTAAGCAAAGAAAAATGTCGACTAAACTTAGAAAGTAAAATTAGAAAGAAGGAAGATAGAGAACCCAAAACAAAAATTTATCCAACTCCACGTATTGCGACGAAACCTTATTCTTCATGTCTTCGTCTTTGTCGTCCTTGTCGCTAGAGGTGGGCAAAACCAACCGAACCCGCTTAAACCGCCCAACCCGACCCAACCCGACCGAATTGGGTTGATTTTTTTGTTATTTTTAAGTGGGTTCAGTTTTTTTATTGTGTGGGTGGGTCGGGTTGTGGGTTAACTCATAAAAATCAAACCAACCCACCCAACCCAACCCGCCTATTTTCAAAAAATAAAAAAAATAGAGAAATAAATTGCCTAAACGTAAAGTCTCTATTTTTAAGATTTAGAGTTTCATAAATTATAACAAGAATCTCATTATAATTTCTAATAGGCAAATTTTTATATCGAATTTCTCAAGTCACAATGTATAACTCAAGACTTCGATTGGGTCTTCCCATAATCTCTATCTCTTAGGATAATTAAGTCTTGTACTGGTTTACGAAAGTATCTTGTAGAACGGTTATATGAACTATGGACATAAATGTTGAAGAGAAAATAAATATTAAGCTCCTATATAGAGGCTTGATCTAACTTCTGAATAAATCGAATTCTCACATTTAAAATAAGCTTGTGAAGCATAATTTGCTTATTATTGCCTAAAACTATTAAAGATTTGAGATAAATAATAATTAAGAAGTTAAATTCGAAAAAAAATTAAAAATTTGGCTACCAGTAGAACCATCTGTCTTACTTTTTGGTTTGGCATCAATTTAATAAGTATCCTCGTCGTCGTCTATTGTGCAAACTTGTTTTGTTAATCTAGGTCTGACGATGAGCCTGTAGATCTGAAGCAGGAACTTGAAGAGCGATGCAAGGCACTATTTTACATTTTTTAGTTTTTCGTTCACTCTTCTTTTTGTTTGATTACATGATAATAAATTACAATTTGTCCAAACGGACCAATCCAACCCGACCGACACTTGATTGGGTTAGGTTGGGTTTCAACATTTACTTTGGTTGGGTTGGTTTGATTTTAGATCAAACCGATCGTGTTGGGTTGAGTTTGGGTTTGGGCAAAAACCGACCCAACCCAACCCAACCCA